CTCATCTTTCGGGTCAGTTAGCTCTTTGCCTAGATGATCTAATCATGTTTATTCTATTTGGGGAGATGAGGTGGGTAATCAAATTTGTCAGCTCCATGCTCATTGATTAGTTAGAGCTTTGCTCAAAGTGATAATAACTGCTGAGATTCAAAATGGCCGACAAAGGCTATTGGGCTGAAGTCAAGCATATTTTTAGACAAGCAAATGTAGTTCTTGCTTTACTGCCTGCAATACTTATGCGGTGTATTTTAATTAATGACATAGGTTCTTAGGTAGCTTGTTGGTAAGGTCTCTGGCTGATTATGATGGGGACTTGTGATTGAATCTTTCCTTCATTAGGGATTAAGGGGTTAGGGGTGGGCTACCCCTGCTGGATGGAGAGAGAGACTTGTAGAACTTCTTCTGTGCCTTAACTCATCTTGCCATGTGGAAGATTCCTATGTCATTTAGAACTTCATTAAATGACCCAATTAGGAGATCCATTATTTATTTTCATGAAAAAGAAAAACTCGACTTCCACTTTTTCTTCTTATTTTAACTTCATTTGTTTATCCCTTTATTTCTTTATGAATTGGTATAAAAAAAAATTGAAGGGCCCGTTTGGTGTATCTTTTTGCATGGTTTAGCCGCCAAAAAACGGTGTGCCAAAAAAAATGTGAGAAACCCAAATCAGGTGATTTTCGTGGAGCTTCAAATGGAGTTTTTGTATTTTTTTTTTCTATTTGCTTTCGTGAAGAAATATGCCTTAACCAAACGGGCTTCAGGCTGCTCAGATCATAATGCAAAAGCTCAATGCATCTTTTGACTGTCAGAGCTACTAAAAGATCTTCCCAAAAAGACTTGCCAAACGGCCCCAAAGTAATTAGAGTTAGTAGTTGTGTTGCATAGATATAGACATAGGAAGCAGATTTCTGGGAATACATGAATTATTTTATCATCTTAAACCTTTAAGGGACATGAAAATAAAAATTTATATTTCTTTTCCACCAAAGAACATTTTGTAGGATATATAAGAGAAATCCACTATTTATACTCAAAATCAATTTGGATGAATTGGATGGACCAATAAGACATATTGAATTGGACGAGTCCAGACTTAATGATCCAAAGTATTCATTAAATTGGATTGGACCCGAACCAAGCATAATGAATTTATATTTAGGGGAGTTCAAATTCAGTTATTAAATTGAAAACTGAACCAAACCAAACCAAACCAAACCAAACTAAATCGAATAAGTCAATCCGATTTGGTTATTTTGGTTTTTGATTCGGTTTGGCTTTATGATTTTAGAAATATCTATTTTAGGATTTTGGTTCAGTTTGAGAAAAAAATTTAACCAAATCGATCCGGAACCTAAATTAACCAAAATAAATACATATATTTATATTTCAATTATAAATATTAACATTACTATTTATATTAATAATAATAATATATAATATGTATTTTAAATGTTGATATATTTTAATAATAATTATTAATATAAGTATAAAATGCATTTATATTTTAACTAACCAAATTAATTGAATCGATTTAAATTTAGTTCGATTTCAAGTCTAATTCGATTCATGAAAATGACCTATACAAAATATTGGTTAGGTTTTTTTTTTTTTTTTTTCCGAATCAAACCACTGAATGGGCATCCCTATTTATATTGGATTGGGTCAGATTGAACCAATAACCAGTCCACTGATAGAAGATAAGAGCACAGGTGTCAATGGACTAGATTTGGATTGAAATCAATCTAAATTAAGACCAATTTGAACTGATTGAATGGTCCAGACATTGAATTGGATTTGTCGAAGGTATTCATCGGATTGGATTGGACATGATCCATATGTAATGGACTCATATTGGATTCGATTAAATCTGGTCCAATTGATTCCCTTATTTATACTTAGATATTTATTCATCTCAGAGAAGTAAGAAGATAATGAAAATGATGATCAGAGTGTTGCAATTAGATGGGTCTCCAGTAGTGATGGGGAAAATTATTATTATTTTTGGTAGAAGGGAAAAATTATTATTGATTGAAAAGAATTACCCAATATTGAGACACTAGAGATAGAAAAGAATTTCATACCAACTAACCTAATTTTTATTTGCATTTGGTTAAAAAATAGACAATTACCCAATATTGATCCCCTTATCCATGGTCTCGGGAAGGATAGATTGGATAACCTTTAACATTTTTTTTTTTTGCACAAAGTGGCCATTCTCAAACTTGAACCTTCATTTTCACACTTGTCATCCCGAGATTTTATATACCATTAAGTACACATTAATATAAATATACTAATAATAACATTTCATTTTATTATTCTAATGATAGCTCATACTGGTTTCTTTTGCCATTTGGGTTGAATCCGTTTAAACTATGGTTTTTAAAATCGACCCGGAGACCAAACCGGTCAGGGGTTCGGTTATCGGGTCGAACGGTCCGATTGTTCGAACCGAATAGTTGGCCCATTCTAACAAAAAAATAAAAAAACTTAAAAAAATTTAGAAAAATAAAAAATGGTCAAAACCGTTCGAATGGTTAACTGCCCAAGTCAGCGGTTTACTGACCAAAAAACTACGGTTTTTTGAGAAATCCTAATTTTAAGGAAAAACAAAACCAATCACCTAACCGATTCCCGATTTTTCCGGTCCAACCATCCGGTCCAGTCTGATTTTAAAAACCATGATTTAAACGATAAGCACCTAATAGATACCCAAAAAATGCTCTTCTTAAAAATGCAATCTTTTGGATTTTGGATGGATGGATGACAAATCAACATAGAGGAATAGATAAGTTGTCGATGGGCTGATCCAGTTAAGAATAAAAATGAAATCCCAAGAAGCTTCAGCTAATCACTTTATTGTAAAAGCAGTCATAAATCAATGTCAAGGAAACCGAAGGAACCCAACAAGGCTCCATTAAAGTTTCATTTCTCTCCCGTAAAAGCATCAAAAGTAGTTTGATGGAATAAAGGAACAAAAACTGATAAAAATAAAAGAGGCATCTTTGATGTCTCTCCACCCTTTTCACAGTCTATTTCACAAAGACTCCCTCTCAAAATTAAAGAAAAAGTAGTACACTTGACCGTCTCTAGTATAACTCATTCCACCCCTTAGCAGCTAAGCTAGTTACTGGTCCAGCTTTGGTTCAACCTGACATATCTTAGCTATTTGCTTTCTTTGGTTGGAGACCCACCTTAGGATTGGCCCCACTTCTTTCACTTTTCTTTTTCTTTTCCTTTTAATTCCTTGGGAGGTGGGATATAGCTAGGGTTTAAATGGGAAAACAGTATTAGATGATGACACACCAAAAAATGAAAACATCAAGATTAGATGCGTATAATCATGCATTCAATTACTTGTACATTTTTATAGCTTGCCGGGCCATCTCTTTAGAGTTCACATCTCTGCCCCATAAGGGGCCACCCCACAACGCTCCACAACATTCCCACCGTGTATTGTGAACATTTCCTGATGATAGTATCAGAACCGATGATATCATCATTGGGGGATGTTCCCAATACACGGCGGGGATGTGCTGTGAGGTGTTGTGGGGCAGAGATGTGATCTCATCTCTTTATACAAGCTAGCTATATAATGAATTAGATTTATCAAGTAGCTAGCCATAATCACTACTTGAATACTAGACCTGTTAAGCTTAAATCTATATGAATTCCATTGATCTTGGCTCTAAATGGTTAATAAAGAAGATATTAAATGGTTAATGGTTCTTATATTCTACAACGAGTGAATTTCTTTTTCCATCTCTAATTGCTTGTTTTGACATCAAAATTTAGGTTCATCAGTTTGTTTACAGTGCAATTTCATTTGCACTAGTGTAAATGCATGAGAGTGCAAGTGAGAAGAATGCAAATACTATTCATTTTTATTTCATCAGACAAATAAAGCATTCTCATACTTTTGTGCCAGTGCAAATGAAAGAGCAACGCAGACAAATTTCTTTTGCACCTTAAACGATGACTAAAGTGTGTATTTGAAACCAAATTAATCCGACAATCGTTTGTTTAGAATAAGTGGTGGTGGAACCCACCCAGTGATAAAATTATTCCCACCGGATGGTTTCTTCTAATATATATTGCACTATATAAGAGGGATTGGTGTCAATCTTTGTATGTGAAAGAGTGTAAATATGCAAATATGGCTGAGTTTGGAAGGAGTACAAATACAAATTTGTAGAATGCAAAACCTTATATTTTGTATTATTTTGTATGCATTTAAGCTGCACATATTTGCATTTGTACTGCTACCAAACTGAGCCTATATATGTTTAGTAATACAATATAGAAGATTTTGCATCATACATATTTGTATTTATAGGCCAAATTACTCTAATAGAAAGAGTTGGTGACGATTTACGTCAACTTTGTACAGTTTTGTACCTCGGGTGACATAATCGAGTGGTTAGCCTAATGTGGGTATGTATGCCCTGATTATGTTGGTGACTGGTGATATCATAGCGGGGTACACTCTTGTTACATGCATGTGCTTGTGGTCTCATCACAGAGTTTGAATGTTTCTCCCTTGAGAAGGAGAGAGGGGCCTACAGTTTTTCGCTTTTCTTTTGTTTCCTTTTTAACTTGCCATGAAAATTCGAAATTTGGTCTATTAGACTGAGATTTCATGCCTCCTGGGTGGAGTTATGAAAGGTTGAAGACATGAAGCCAGTGCAATGGCAAATGGGTCTCTGTCAAAATTAAGAATAGAAGGGTGCTAGGTTGATCTTCCTCTGCCATACTTTCTGAGATTTCTCCCTATAAACATTTCTGAGTTTCAACCAGAGACCCCAACCATATTTGCTTAAAGTTTCTTGTTGTTAATACATGTGCTGTTGAGAGAGAGAGAGAGAGAGAGAGAGAGGATATATATTGACAGTGAGTGAGCATATGACTTGGAAAGTTTTTGATGAGAAAAGAAAAAGAAAGAAGAACAGGACCCAGAAAATGATTAGGATGCTTTGGAAAGCAACGCATAATCATAAGATTGATGACAATCAACCATGAAAACTTCGTAGGGTGAAATCCCAGAAACAATTCCTTTGATCCATCCCTTGAGACGGAACATTTTGTGAACTTAATTAAATTTAAAAGCCAAGAATAAGAATAAAAAAAATATGAATGAAGAACACAGAGAAAGTCCAAGCAATTCAGTGCAACTGGTTCAGAAGTTGAGCCAACCACCATAAAAACCTGATCATCAATTCACATTTTATACCATTGTCCAAGACCCATCAGTGAAAAAGATAACAAAAGAAAGAAGGAAAGAAGTTGAAGAAGAAGAAGAAGAAGAAGAAGAAGAAGAAGAAGAAGAAGAAGAAGAAGAAGAAGGAAGAGGATGACCATTGAACCCATCAACCCAATCTATAACCAACTCTACAACTAATGCCACACCACCACCCCACCAATGGAGCTAAGTATAACTCTGAAACCAAAGACACCCATATCGATCGATCACACGCTTCTAGCCATCATTTCTTGGTATCTCCTGTAAGATTCCTGCTTCTCCAACCTGAATTTCTCATGGCAACTGGCAATGAACTTGGCAGCAAGCCGATCAATCTCGTCGACCTCAACATCTGCCGTGGAGTTCTCTGCAGCTGGGACGACGACCTTCTCTTCAAGCCAATGAAAGTGCCCCGAGAGCTGAGACTCCACAGCCGCCTCGCATTCCTCCGCAGGGCAGACGGAGTTCCATGTGGAGTCGTAGTAAAGATTGTGGCCGCTGCTGAACCCATCCATGGCGGGCTCCGGCATGGGTATGACATGAGAGGAGCACCAGTTGTAGTGTGTTCTAATGGTGCTGAACAGCTTCCTCTTCTTCTTGCTCTTCTTGATACTGTTCTTGTAGTAATCGGGTCGGTCGTCGTCCTTGAAAAGCTCTGCGATCACTGACTTGGCTTTGGTCAGTGCCCGGACGACGAGGCAAATGTGCCTGAAGACATGAGAGTGGAATAGGGTTTTGATTTTCATGGAATTTGAGCTCGGACATGGATGCTGGATGGATTTTGGATGAGATGGGACAGCCATTTTTGGTAGGGTATCTCAAGGTCTTAGTTCAAATTCCGATATATAAAGGAACTGGGATTTCAAACCGCCACTGGGTTTCAGTTAAATCACAGAAGTGCCATCCACTTTGGAAAGCTATGCTCTTGTTTCTGTGGTGTWAGTGTTTATAAAGATGGGACTTGTTTGGACTCTTCATGACCACGCCTGTCCCTTTAAGACAGCTGATGCTGTACAGAAAATGTATTGTATTTCATGCTTGGTTGGGTAGTGTCCAAACAAGCCCCTTCCTTCAATTCCCTTAATTGCTCTTACCATGAAAGGG